CGCGATCCCATGTTTTCCAAAGGTATCGTACGTGCTGTTTGCGCAATAAAGACGTATGTATGAGTAACCGAGATAGTTTAGACGATCAAGGCCGATACTTTTGACGTACGATCGATAGGCACGTGTCAATTTCTCCATTCCCACGCGTGGATATGGATCCATCAGCCGTGGATCGTTGCGAAATTTCGAGAGCGTGAAGTTCGTCTTTCTCTCAGGCGTTTCGGCATAATCTTTCCGGACAAAGGCCTGTCTCACCTTGGGCCACTTGTCGATCCGAAATATGCAGGCGGCGGCAAGCCTTTCGAATCGATACAGATCGATCGAGGAATATTTGACGATCTCGCCCGAATAAAATCCACAAAATCGAAGCATCAACTTTTAATGTGTGCGAACGCATTCGATTGCAAGTACGATACGAACTTGTTCGAACCTAACAAGTTTACTTGCTCTCAGATGATCGTAACCGCGATAAGAGTCACTTGCAGTCGTTTCGATAAGGAATTGATTTTAATGACTAGAGAAACAACTGATTAATACGAAGATAGATTGATTGTAGCTGAAGTGATTTATGTTACGATCCCCAATAATTGGTTTAATGGAATTTAAATCGCCGGAGAGGAATGTCACAGTTTTTATAATATTTTAATATGATATTGTTAATATTATTATTAGTAATAATATTATATAAATAAAAATAATAATAATATTATTAAAAGTTTTATCTCGGAATTTATGTTCCTTCGTGAATTTTATAATCACATATCGGGATTTACAAAATTTTTATAACTTACTTTCCGACGCTTTATGTCATCGGTCAATGAGATTTGGTATTCTTCGCTCAGGTATGCGCCACCCATTTTGGCAGGTACTAAAAGAGTTAACAACAGAACTACCGAATCCGTATAAATGATTATAATAATTGAGATCGTAAAAAGTCTTTTTTGCGGATAATTACTGTCTTTATCTGTTCAATCTCAGTTTGTAAGAAAATTCATGATGTACAATACATTGTTAAATGCATAGTGATCGCTAAGCAGCGAATCTTTGTGCAAAATAAAAATTATCTGCTTCATTTGTAGGAAGCAGTAACCAATTAAAAGTTTCGTTTCTCCGCTAACAATCTGAATCGTTTGAGAATAATAATAGCGTTGTGTATTCCTTCTACTCGATTTCGTCATAAATGCATAAAATCCACTGTTTATGGATCACATGTAGAATCTTTTTGAAATTCGATTTACGCAGATACGTTACGACAAGACATTAATTTGAAAATACAATTCTGTCCTCCATATATCACTGATGCGTATGACAGTCAACGTGTGTTAAACACCGGTGGAACAAAAAATCGAAGCTCGTCAAGTAAGAATATTGTATATATCTCTCGATCTTGATTTTAATAATCCTGGAAGGAGGTCAGACTTGATAGCAAACTGAGGGATTTTTCTCTGATTCTTCGATCAGAAATTCGAACTGTGAAATATTCAAAGTCTACAAGAAGTCTCTATACAGGGCGTCCCAAAAATGTCTCGTAATACGGAAATGGGGGGTAGCTGAGGTGATTTGAAGTAACTTTTTTCTCAGCGAAAATTCAATCTGTGGCTTAGTTTAGGAGTTATTAACGAAAAATACTGGCCAATGAGAGGGCGCGAACTACAACGCGGTGGATCGCTCGAGCGCAACGTGCTCCGACCGCGGAGTTCGACAGAGTTCGCCAATATAAACGACTGATAGCTTACGCTTGAAGGCCTAATTAACTAGTCAGTGATCAGAACTGGAGCACCAATCAATCCGCAAACAGTGCCACAAAATTCTCATCTAAGCGGGCCCCGCGAATGGAGGTCCACTTTCCTGTTTAGCTGCGTAGAAAAACTGTCAAGGTTAAATTTTGTTTTGTTGTCCAGTTCGCTGTTTTTGACGAGCCATGAAGACATGGCAATATATTGTGATCTGATGTGTATACTTGTCTAATAGACTAGCCCCTCTATAGAGCTAAAAAAAAGATAAATTCATCTAGTTCAGTTTTGAAATAGTTATTGCGTTTTAACCCTTTGCAGTCGAGTGGCGACTCTAAGGCGCCATTAAAAATTGTTATGTCACGTTTGAAGATAATGTTAACGTTATCAAATTTTCTTTATATTTATGAAACTCTTAATAGCGTAATTGTTGCACGAGCTACAAAATTCTATTTCGTATAAAACGGAAACACTGTAGGTCAGGGAAACTATTTTAAATTTCGAGTTAAAATGGCTCCGACTGCAAAGGGTTAAAAGGTATAAGAACACTTTTGTGGGCCTCTGCGTGTACGATGTTACATGCAAAGCATAGGCCGGCAATCTTTCTGCGAACGGACAGTGACCCGAGATTAACCCTTAGCGCTCCACGCGTTTCTCGAGTTCTACCTACCAGCAACTCCGGTACATTTTTGGAGCAAAGCGCCCGAGATGAAGGAAGTCTTATTTCGAGCGGGAAAGATTACACGTCCTTGTGAAAGCGTTTGATTTTATTCATTTTATGTTGCTAAGTAGAAAAATAGGCAAAAATGTTTTAATCGTAATGGTATCTACTTAACATTGTGCGAGGTCGGTGCATCGACATCGTGAATCGTGACCGAAATTTCCAAGCAGCAAATGCATCCTCATCGAAATGGATAAATTTACTATCAATGATATTCTTCGCAATTCTTAAATAAATATATCTCTCATGTTCTTTGACGCGATTTATTATCAAATTAGCATCGCGAATCGTCTGTTGAATTCTGTTTGGATACGGAATTATCGAAACAAAAATATCTTTTGCGCGAGTTTGTCGGAATTTTTTTATCGTTAATCTTCACTGGAATCGGCTCGATTAATAATTAAATTAAATAAAAAATTAGTAAATATTCTTCGGACGTTCTAAAATAAAGTTGAACAGCGTTTTTCTGAAAAATATCACTACCAGCAACTCCGGCACATTTTTGGAGCAAAGCGCCCGAGATAAAGGAAGTCTTATTTCGAGCGGAAAAGATTACACGTCCTTGCGAAAGCGTTTGATTTTATTCATTTTATGTTGCTAAGTATAAAAATGGGCAAAAAATGTTTTAATCGTAATGGTATCTACTTAACATTGTGCGAGGTCGGTGCATCGACATCGTGAATTGTGACCGAAATTTCCAAGCAGCAAATGCATCCTCATCGAAATGGGTAAATTTACTATTAACGATATTCTTCGCAATTCTTAAATAAATATATCCCTCGTGTTCTTTGACGCGATTTATTATAAAATTAGCATCGCGAATCGTCTGTTGAATTCTGTTTGGATACGGAATTATCGAAACAAAAATATCTTTTGCGCGAGTTTGTCGGAATTTTTTTATCGTTAATCTTCACTGGAATCGGCTCGATTAATAATTAAATTAAATAAAAAATTAGTAAATATTCTTCGGACGTTCTAAAATAAAGTTGAACAGCGTTTTTCTGAAAAATATCACTGCCAGCAACTCCGGCACATTTTTGGAGCAAAGCGCCCGAGATAAAGGAAGTCTTATTTCGAGCGGAAAAGATTACACGTCCTTGCGAAAGCGTTTGATTTTATTCATTTTATGTTGCTAAGTATAAAAATTGGCAAAAAATGTTTTAATCGTAATGGTACACACGCTAAGCACGTTTTCGTTACAAATAACAATTGTCAACGTCGACAAAAACATAGCATCTTCACTGTAATCATGCTAAAAACATTGAGCTCCGCGGCAGAGCCTTCGGATTTACGGAACAAATGACGGATATCTCCATAGCGGAGCCAACGGAGCGTTAAAGGATAACATCATTGAGAATATCAGTTTATAGTACGTTCAACGAGGACTGGCAGAAAATGTAAACAGAACGTTCATGCGATCGGTGCTGCGGTTACAGCTGAGAGGCTGCAGGACGTCGATGCCTAGGCACGAATTTTAGAGGACTCTCATCGAGGGCCTTTGCATACAGAGTAGCCTCGTGTGAAAGGGTCCGAAAATTGTGATTCGACCCTGGCCCGATCACGCGTCGCCTGTGTGCGGCTGTTTATGTTTTGTGCCAGTTCTCCTTGAACGTATATAACTATAGTAACTATAGTTATATATAATATAACTATAGTAGAGTATAGTTATATATAATATAACTATAGTAGTATAGTTATATATAATATAACTATAGTAGTATAGTTATATATAATATAACTATAGTAGTATAGTTATATATAATATAACTATAGTAGTATAGTAGTATAGTAGTATATATATAACTATAGTATACTATAGTAACGATTCTCGAACAGCGTTCGCTTCTTCAACTTGTGGGCACAAGAACGGGAGGAATCTATGTTGCGCCCGTTCTATCATGGTTTCTAAATTTGCATTTGTTGGAGACCATAAAAGCGTAATAGAAGCGTATTATATTTGAAGTTGAATTAGAATATTAGAAGTTAGTATACAGCAGTTTGATAGTACATTTACCGAAAGGAGGACCCCAGACAAGCGTATAATGAAACGCAATCTTTTCAGAGCAGGGAAGAAATATGGAAGAAGTATGGAAGAAATATCTAAAAATCTGTGGATGAAATCTAAATCTACGGAAGAAGTATGGATGGAGAACTGGAAGTGGAGGAAAATAGAACACCGAAATCCTTCAACTAATTCGTTGTGAACAGGAGTATCTTATTTAGGCTGAATGGAAAACTATAGGCGATCGGCAGATCGATAGAGCATCATAGCACGACACTTGAAGATGTTTAAGTTCGTTCCGTTGCTTACACATCGATCATCGAGTCTGGTAATCCTACGAAATAGTTTTAAGTCGTCGGCGAGAAGAAGAGATATGCAGAGGAGAATTTTGGCTAAATGCTCGTGACGAAGAAGATGAAGAGGCGAAGTCCGAAGTGAGAGATTTTTTAGGAACACCAGATAGAGCATATTAATTGGCGCGGATTTACATTTCGAACTCTTCGATCTCGAAGTCGTCTGGTTAGATAACTGAGATAATCCAAGCGACAAGGTTGATGTCTTCGACAAGGTGATTAAGTCTGATAATACACGGGCCTATGGCGATGACCCTGAGACAGTGGAAAACTGTTGGAGGGCCGCGATCCAAGAAATGCGACGCAACGGCTGTTGGCAAATTTCGACCGATCGATTCAGAAAGCGCTTTCGCAAGTCGAAGGATCGCTGGAAGAAGATTGCGCGGTACCGCAAGGAAAGTCTATCGAAGAGGACAGAGTCGCTATCGAGAAAGATTAACTCTTCCACGAGAAAGAATATTGCCTGGACAGAGACCTCGTCCTCGGATTCGCGATCAGCCAAGGGTCCAAGATATCCTCGAGCAGGTTCGATCGTACTCGGATTCTCTTGCCAATTGCCCGCGAGAGAGCCAAGGTGAGAAACGGCCCCGTTCTATCACCCGATACGTTATATCGTTATCACGCGGAGATAGCAATCGTGTTGGTAGCGCGAGAAACGGTAAGGCAGAAAGTTATTCTCCTCAGTATCGTCCGAACGGTAGCCGCGGGATCTTCACCGATCTGTTCGCGAGACTACTGGCACGTTTCTCTTTTCGATCATGCGGACGAATCGGGGTGGCAGGACACAGTTCGCACCTCGAGTCCAAGAGATTGGAAGCTCCTCCGATCCACTTAGCCGGTTTTCGCCGGGCCGATCTCCGAAATCGGGATCGCTGGTTCACAGTTTCTCAGGACTGAATTCCGCAGCCGACTCTAAGAAGCTACGTTCCTCGCCAAGAGCAAGCAGGTCTTCGCGGAGCTGTTAGCTAGGAGGCAGCCGTCCTCGAGTTCAGGAAAAAGAGGAGAAACGGGGCTGCGGTATCGCCGAGCCACATCTCGAACCGGAGCATGCCTTCGTCGAACTGGTAGTCGGGGGTGATCCATAAAAAAAAGGAAGAGGACAAAGGCAGCCACAGTTTCAGAAGCTACGAACCCAGGGGAGGCCTTCGTCGAACTAGCGTCTCCGCTCTAAGGCCAGGAAAAAAGAGGACCGACAAGAGAACGCGGCAGCGGCGTTCCCGGGTAAAAAAAGACTCGGCAAGAAGAAGAAGAACAAGAGAAGAAAGAGGGTCGACGGGGAATTCGGGACGAAGTTTTATTCGTCGGGTAACGGGAAGAGGCGCCCGCCCGGTGTTTACGGCGCAGTAAAGCTCGGAGAAAGCGGAGAAGGCCCGGGAGAGGATGACGGTGCCACGTGTGCAGCCGTTAGATAGGCTGCCGGAGAACCAGTCGGGTCGTTGCTCTGATTGGTTGCTGCTCAGACAGTCCGGCTATCCCATAGCATTGCCACCCTGTCGGTTCGATGGCCAGCCGGCCGTGCAGAAGCTCGGCAATGTCATGAGCATCGAAATAGCTCCAGAAATGCTCCCAGAAATGCTCCCAAAAATGACTCCAGAAATGGCCCTCTACGACGTCTCCCAGCCTTGCACGGGGTCCGCGGCCTGCATCGAGGAACTACCATCTTTCTGCAGCCAATTCTCGGGTTGCTCGGTGAACAATGGTTCCAGTGCTCCCAGGAGCTGCCCGATAGACGTCGAAGACCTGGCTCTCTGCTTCGAGTCAGATAAGCAGCAGGCAAACTGCCTCCCGCAGAGGTTTGGTGCCAGCGCTGCTAATTATAGGCGAGTCAAGGCGAAGTATCCGCAATACCCGGCTCCTCTGCCGGATAAAGGACTCTCGGCGTTCGGAGGATCGATCAGGGACTGCAGGATGTATGTCGGATACGGAGGAAGTTGGGCCGACGAGAGCTTCTGCAACGGTTGCCCGCAGAGCTTCGGGTTTTGCTCCGAGGAACAGTGGCTGCAGTGCCCCGCCAGCGATCGGTGTCCCATTTTTGGGACAAGCTATTCTCCTTATGCGACAGACCTGCTGCCACCGTGTGCTTACGAGGACTTCAGGAACGATTGCTGGCAGTATGGGTGCAACGAGGATGAACAGCTGCTGGAGGATTATTTGTAAGTGTTGAAACGCTGCTTGCGTAGGCGCGCCCATATTCGAGCTGTTTCGTACACGGTGAGACGTGGTGTCTGGTTTGATGGATAGTTTGACCCTTGTATAAGATTTCTAGGGTGGTAGGATTACGACAGAATTCTTGAAGATTGTTTCAATATTAAACCTTCGCGGATTTTCTCAAATGTTAACGTTTTGCACTCGAGTGGCGACACCGAGGCGCCGTTAAAAATCGTTACGTCACGTTTCAAAGTAATTTTGTTAATCAAATTTGTTCGTATTTAAAGAACTGTTAAAGGCGCAACTGTTGCACGAGTCACAAAATTCAATTTAATACGTGTAAAATGCACTAGGTTGTATAAGATGGAAATACCGTGGCGTCAGAAAAGCTATTTTAAATTTTGCGTTATTTTGGCTTTGAGCGCAAAGGATTAATGATATTTTTTTCGGAGAATTAAATTATGTATCGGAGACGTAAATAATAGGAAAAATGAACAATTTATCCGGATACATCCAGTTTTGTTTTTACACGGTCTTTTTAACACGCTCTAGAGAAATTAATTCAATTTCCCTTTTGTACGATTTCGTTCGATTTAACACGGTTGAAATGGTTACTTGATTTCAATTTTCAGATCGAATTGAAGCATTCAAATTGAAAAATTTGAGTGACTTTATAATATTGAATAGCTTTTATTTAAGCTATTTTTTACAGGTTTTAAGAATATGGAATCAATCCCCTATTTATCTATCTATGTACACGGTGTCCTTTTTTGCACGTTATACTTTTGCACAGTTTTTTCTCGAACGTATAAATATAGTAAATATTTATTATAATTTTTATTTATATAATAATAATTTATATAATTAATATTATATTATTATTTATAATTTAATGTATATAATTAATATTTATTATTATTTATAATTTAATTTATATAATTAATATTTATTATAATAAATATTTCTCTACCGTGAGAAAACGAAAATGAGCGTATTTTGTTATGCACACAATGCATATGATTGCATCATCTGAAACAAAATGTTGATATCGTCAATATGGAGAAAAGAGTATGAAAATAATTTCAAGAAAAAAAAAACAAACTTCCTATTTAATTTTCTATGCCGATCAACGATCTATTGGCCGCAATTAACCTTGGACTTGACGCGATATAAAGTTTAATTTGCAGAGAAAGAGATAAAACTGGCTGCGGATTTTTGTCGAGTACACAGAAAATAATTAATACAGTGTTCGTTTGATCGAAATTCTTGCCGATATCGCGTTTGGATATGAATCATGGTCATCGAAGACGTGGAATGGAAACATTATTTTCGATATATGTATCTATGTATATTTAATAACAAGGACTTCATATCACTTTTGTCTATGATACATTGAAATGATACAGAAACTTGTGTTTTCTCATAGTTCGACTGTATTTTGAAATTCTTTGACACCGAATTTGCCGAGAAACTTCGTATAGTTACACAGTTGCGAATCAACGGCAGAAGTTATTTCCATCGAAAGGCACGAACGAAGTGGTAAAAGACACGAATCAGCTTTCGATACAGAATCGTCACGGCGAGATAGATTTTATCGATGCCTCTCTGAACCATTTATAGCACGGAGCCACGAGGTTCGAATTACCTCTGATTACGTCAATTAGCGAAAGAATCCATTAACCGTGCGTGCAGACCCGAGGAAACGCGAACTCGCGTCCCGCTTGAAGAATGTTGATATCGATCGCGATTTAAAGCGCGTCGCATTCTTCCTCTCAATTACTCGAGCGAGACACCTGTTTCTATCGATTCCGCTTTCTCTTCGGACCGACCGTGATCTACAATACGCGATCAATGAGTCGGTTTACGCATTTGGCTATCGATCCCGCGACCACATAGATCGATACCATTTGTTTCTCATTTTGTCAGTCGTGTTTTGGTTTTCATTGCTTCATCAAACTGGAGAATCAATTTTAGATACAACCCGTAGAGCAGATCGAATGAAATGTGAAAAAAGTTGGAATAAATCTGCATAGATCTGTGGATCTTTATTCATTTATGCGTGTCGAAATTGACAAAATGTTCATTGAAATTAGTAACGTTTTCATTCTGTTTTTACCCGGAGAAATCTTCCGAGAGGTATTTATTTATTCTGATTTTTAGAAAAACTTCTACGAAAACAAGAATTCGCATAGGAATCAACAATTTTACGATCCCTGCTTTTTATCTTCTTGCATTTGGCGCGCTCGATGCAACGAGCTCTAACGATTAATTTTTAAATCTTAATGAACAATTAGATAATTCTTAGTCGAATCATATCCGTTATTACATAACGGGCGTACACGCGGATCAATTTCTGTGGACTCGAAGAAAAATTGCTTGTCCCAATCAGAAGTTGCATCATACTTCATCGAAGATTAAAATAAATCAAATAAATCATGAGTGTGTCGTTGTTACTTAACATTATAAAACGCGCGGCATGATATTTGGAAGTTCAATTTTTCTGCGACGATAATTTGTTCGCCACGTTTCACAGGGGGAAGCTGTTACACGTCATTTTTCACCAGTTTCCTTTAACGTTATGAGTTTCAAGAGATCAAAGCGCCGTACAATCGTAGTACTCGCGGTCTACTTATCAGCGACGGAAGAAACGTTCCCCAGCCTATACAAACACAGATCGAAACGTAAATACGCCCAAACGTGATCGAGATTTCGATCGATCTGACGCGGTAGCAACGAAGCAAACCTCGCCTCGAGTTTCTCAAGGAAAGGAAAAAAAAAATAACGACGTTCGAAGGTCGGTTTGTAGAGCAGATAACGAGCGGTCGCGATAGTCGAGACGTGACGAGACGAGTCCGATGAGAATCTCACCTATGAGCCGATACCGTGGATCCATATCGATCATCCATTTGCGTCCACGAAAATTCCTCGGATCGTTTCACCGACCGAATACGCTGGAATATATATTCGAGCGGAAAGATTGCACTCGTCTCTCTCGCCACTTCACGATTTTCCGCAGGACAATGCTCACCGGTCCGTCGTGATCATGGTTTTTCCGTGTTAGCTTGTAATCAGTGTTCACGTATTCGTTCATGTATGCGATCACTCGTTCACTATTGTTACGTAACGATAGTGCAGAAAAAAAGGAGAAATATGCGGCGACCTAGCGGGCTGCGCTTGCTCGCATGCAAAGGACGATGTTCATGGCTGCGATTATGTTATTGGCGAACACTATAAAGAACTGTGGAGATGGTAAAATTATGGCTGGAGTCATCGCTGTTGGTCTAATGACTGATTTTTTAGTGAAGATGCTTCTATAAGAAATTATTCAAGGCTTTGCTTCACTCAGGAACATAATAAAAGTTCTATGAAATCTACATAAATTCAATTTTGCCATTTTTGTAAATCAAGATCCATTCAAATTCTAGCAAAACCTTTGGTAGATCCTTTGCTATACACGTAAAATTGTAGGGAATCTAAATAAATTCAGTCTCTTGCTCTTTTTTTATAAGTCAAGCTCAATTGAAATTCGATAACAAAAGCTTTGTGTGCAGACTGTTTAGAAAAGGAAATACTTTCCTGTAAAATGTGAAGTTTAAATTAAGTCATGCATATGGATAGACAGTCGATTTTGTAAACCTATAACAAAATGGATAGACAAAATTTTGAACAGCATGAAGATTAATAGTGTTTAAAAGTATCAGAGTATTGTTTTCAATTCTATAAAATTATTGCATAAAGAAAGAGTCTAGCCGATTAAGATGATCAAAATTGCACTTGGTGGTTTTTTTAATGACTATTATAAATAGCGTTCGATATCTGGCAAAAAAAACTCAGCTGTGCAAAATTTCGACCCTGTAACTTGTCCGTGAGAGTAGTTACAGGGTAAATTAAATTGCGCGCTTTTCCACCCACTTCACCCCTTCGGTGGATTTGTAAAATTTTGAAAAAAAAAACGTTTTGAATATATTGAGTCGACTTGTCAATATTTTTCAAATATTAAAAAAATATTTTTCAAATATTAAAAAAATATTTTTAAAACATTAAAAAAATATATTTAAAGTCATGCGAATAAATCATATTATATGAAATTGGAAAAATAAAGTGACGTAGGAAAAAATCTCTGTCTCCAATGGGAGACAAACCCCAGCGAAGTGTTTTCGTAGTCGGTCAACTTACTCACTCTGCCAACCGAAGATGTTGAAGCATGCATGAATATTTAGGTATACGTCGCAATGCGCACATCAAAATTTCTTCTTTCTCTCTTAAATCGCATTTTCTGTTTCAATTGCTTGTTTCAATGTAGTAACATTTAAAATTACCCAATCTGCACTTGCGGTAAACCCAACAAGTAGTAATTTTCTTCTTTACAGCAAAAACGTCGATAAATTCGTTTTCCATTTTTTTTTGGATAATTCCACAATCGGACGAAAAATCTGAGAAAAATTGAGCGCACTGCTTGTGATAGTACCTTATCATAGTACCTTATCAGGGTATCAAATATAAAAAAATCTCTATTTTTGCTTTTGAGAAATCTCCAATTTTCCGATTTTCTTTTGGTTCTCCATTTGTGATAACCACAGTTTGCAACCGAAAAATCTGAAAAAATTCTATAATATGCGGCTTGACGTTCAAAACAAGCCATATTTTCTTTAAAATTTTAAAAAGACTGCGACGGGGGGAAATGGGTGGAAAAAAGCGCGTAATCTAATTTACACTGTAACTACCCCCACATTACCTCGTAACTACTCTCACATCTACCCTCACTACCCTCACGACAAGTTATAGAGTTGAAATTTTGCACAGATGAGTTTTTCTTAGTCGGCTATCGAACGGTATCTTAGGTCATTAAAAAACCTCTAAGGGCAATTTTGACCATCTTAACACTTTCACAACCGCTGACACCCACTGTGGTGTCATGGGCAGGCCAGTCGTTGTATGTCGGTGACACTCATGTGGTGTCATTGGTAGACCAGTCGTTATTTGCCGGTGACACTCACGTGGTACCATTGATAGGCCAGTCGCTATTTGCCGGTGACTCCCACGTGGTACCAGTGGCAAGCCATTTGCAAAACTTTTCTTAATAACGCGCGGTTGTGAAAGTGTTAATCGGCTAGGCCCTTTCTATTTGATTCCTGCTCTTTGCAATTGATCTGCATGAAGATCTTTGGGAACATAAGATTGTGTAAGTTAGTACAAATCGGTACCTATGACCAGCTTAATAAAATTGGATTGAAATTGTATTTTATTGTATTACGTTAGAGTATATATATATACTAATGAAGTATCTGATTGATTTCTGTTGCAGGAGTAATGAGAAGAGGAAGGAAAAGTCTCGGGATGCTGCAAGATATCGTCGCAGCAAAGAGACAGACATATTCACGGAATTGGCGACAGCACTTCCGATTCCAACTGACCAGGCCGCTCACTTGGATAAGGCCAGCGTGATGAGGCTTGCCATCGCCTACTTGAAAGTGCGCTCTGTAGTCGAGACCAGTAAGTTTTTACTTGAAGGTTTCTAATTCCTGTTAATGGTCATTCTTTCAATGGATTGCGGGTTACTACTATGGCTTTTTAAATAAAGCGAGACCATGATCTCTCCATGTAGTAGCACGCAATCCAGTTTTGTAATAAATTCTAGCAGTTGTTAGATCTTTGTTGAACTGTTTCCAGTGCCACCGCCGCTGGCCAAGTCCGAGACATCGACCCAGATGGACAAGATGTTCTCCGAGGCCCTGAACGGCTTCATGTTGGTGCTGTCCAATGACGGCAACATGATCTACCTATCGGAAAACGTCAGCGATTACCTCGGCGTGACTCAGGTTCGTTTTGCCAAAAAATTGATTTTATTGGTGGCTCGAAGGTCAATTTCAAAATCACAAGAGAGCCTGTACCTAAAATCTGTGAATCCTCAAATATTTTCCTAAGATTAGAGTAAGTTTGATTTATGCTAGCAAGGTATGCAGATATATGTAGATACAAAGTTTTGTTTAGTCGTTTATCTATATTTGTAGAATTTCTTATTGAAGGATAATATGTACATAAAAGTTTCACTGCTTATTTAATATACTGATATGGAAATAGAACGGTTTGATAGATCTTTGGGTTTTCTGATTGCAGATGGACATGATGGGCCAAAGTGTGTACGAGTATAGTCATCCGTGTGACCACGACGAGCTCCGTGAATGTCTTTCTTCAAAGCCCAGTGAGAGCAATGAAAAGCGCTGCTGCAGCTTCTTTCTGCGGCTGAAGTGTACCCTGACCAGCAAGGGCAGGAAGGTCAACTTGAAGAGTGCCTCCTACAAGGTTGGCCCTGCAGACTTTCCCATAGAAAATTTTCTTGAACCGTTTTCTTGAACACTCCTATTTGGATCAAGTTTTAGAGATCATTGAATGATCCAAGTATACACACCATCTGATTTGCTAATGTGAACATAAATATTTTTGCTTTTGTCTTCAACAGTCTCAGAAGTTAGTTTAGGGCTCAAAGTTTCAAGAGTTGCTTCATTTCTGGAATTTTAATTAGCTCAGTTAAAATATTTTCGTTTATGAACAAAATTTAATTAATCTTGCAGTATTACATTGGAGTCATCAGAATTCAGCAAAATTTTATTCACACATTCGCTATTGCATTGCGAAATAATTACAAATACCACATTCTTCTGACATCTCTTGAGCAATTGAACTTCGCAGCCTCGAACTACATATTTGAGAGTATCTCATCAAATTTTTATAGAACTCTCGAAAAGCTTACACTGTTACATTCTGTAGTCCATGGAAACAGTGTACCCTTGCAGAAGTAACATTTGTCTGTAAAACTTTCTACCGATCTATACTTTCAAGATAAAGTACATGCAAACAGTTTCAAACTTGTTTGTATTGTGAAAGAGTTCAAACTGAAGTTTGACGGTTCAAAAGAATTTCTTCCCGATGCGAACGGAACCGGTCGCGACGTCGACCGAGCAAAAAGGAGTGCATGTTTGAGCAGCGAGTCGATTATGCAATGTGTTCCGTTGTGCCAGGTGATCCACTGCACCGGCAGGTTGACGTACATCCGCGAGCCGGCACCGCGCACCTTGGATACCGATGACAAGGATCGAACCACCGAGGAGGACGGAGTCGTAAAAAGTACTGGCGCCTCTTTGGTGCTGGTCGGATGTCCCATACCGCATCCCAGCAACATAGAGATACCTCTGGGACGTCATACTTTCTTGTCGAAGCATAGTCTTAGCATGAAGTTCACCTATGCTGACGAGAAGTGAGTAATTCAAAGAGAGAACTGGATTTTCTTCAAGTCTTGCCAAATCAATGCTATGAAATCTTCTAATTAGGATATCTAATCTTGAAAATTGAGACTAGACCCATGATGTAGACTCGAGCTAGAATTAAATTTCTGGAACAGTTGGGAATAGACAAATAAATTGTGAAAGAATTTGAAAACCACAGTACATTATAGTTTCAGGTAATCAAAATAATTAAAGGAAGAAAGGAACTTTTAATTAACATCAGTTTCTTCCAATTTAAGCAAACAATTTTTGTTTTATGAGATCTGTAGTCTAGTTGTGAAAAATCTATGTTACAGTTAATTTTTCTAAAATACGATTTCCTTCTTCTTGACTATAACAATCCCCTAACAGATGCTTTAACATATCATTATTAAATATTTCGCATCTAAACGTCCTAGTTTTCTCACCTCTTATAATCAAGTATCCCGGCAATTGATCATCAAAGTAATCGTCTGGTTTGATTTGATAGGTTGGCAGAGTATCTGGGCTGGAACAGCGAAGAGCTGATGGGACAGTCGGTCTTCGAATTCTATCACGCCCTCGACAATCTGGCCCTGGACAAATCTTTCAAGTCACGTGAGTATAGAGCCAATTGACTCTGATTTGAATAAACGCGGTCATTCTCGCGGCCCACTCTCCGTTCGTTGGTCGCGTGATGTACGATCGGTTCGCGTAACAGTTGAAAACTGGACAGAACTTTTAGGCAGACCAATCAAACCAGAACATTTGAGTTTTATTTTTGGCAAATTATTTGACTGCTTCAAATTATGTTGCTAGGACGAGTTAGAGGAAAAAGATCTCCAAAGAATGCCGGCAATTACAGTAATGTCTCCCTAACTGACGCGCAGATTGTCCACAAAAATGGACAATTTGGGAAGAGGAGATGCGATTATTCGAGCCTTGCGCCTCCTTTTTATAGTTGTTGAGAATCGGTAATCATAACAACGAGGCGCAAGACGCAAATTAATCGTATCTCCTCTTCCCAAATTGTCCATTTTTGTGGACAATCTGCGCGTCAATTAGAGAGACATTACTGTACCCACAAAATATGGGAGCATAATATTGTTCAAGGATTGATAGAACCCCATTTCCACGCCCACGCACGATCGAGTGCGAATACAGTCACCGAGTTACGAAATAACAACAGCTAGAGTTGCACACGTGTCGCCGACCATTGATCTCTCCCTCCTCCGGGTAAAGTTATGCATCTAATGCGGAAGAAGAAAGTCGCAGGATCGATACACGCGCCGATGGGTTGGGGAGAAGGAAGGAAAAGAGAGAATGAAGGAGAAAAATGAAAAAAGTGGGCGTGTTGGGTGGGACGATTCGTTGGTCGGGCGAGCGTGGGTCGTTGGGTGAACGACACAGTTGGAGGGAAGGATTTCAAGGACGGTAATCTCTTATCAGGATTCGAGGAGAGAGCCGGTCTTTTACGAGCCCGTGATTTAATTGGTGGCTCGAGTCACCGTACGTTAACCCGCTACGACGAGATGAGCCATAAACTTCTTTTTTCTTCTCGCCGGCTACCGGATACAATTTTCAATTGCTATTTTTATTGTTCACTGTAGTTTCCTCTTGTTCCAGAAATTCCTGTACAGACACTTTACGATTGTTAAGACGTAATTATCGAGCCGCGGATCGTTATGCAAGTGAAAAATGATTCGAGCATCTTTTTTTACGGAATGCTGTTCCATTTGCGTAAATTGTACATGATGTTTCGAGTTATGAGAACGCCAAAGGCAGTGCACTTAAACATGTAACTATCACGTAACCATTTTTTTCATTGAATTTTTATTTCTCGACTAAACTGCAGATTTTATGCAAAATTTTTTTTACAAAAAAAAAAGAAAACGAGTATGTTAAGTACAAAACTGAAACGTCATTAGAAGGATTCAAGGATATTATTGCATTATTTTCAATTTATTACGATTATTAAAAGAAGGAAGACAGACGTAGACGTTAAATTCAAAGAAGTTATTCAGTGACTTATAACATACGTTTTTCTTCGGAAAATATGTTTCTTCGTTTTTTCTACATTGTATCTCTGCTTCTGTGAAATTCAATAGTGCCTGTCTGTTTTTCATTTAATGCTAGCTTCTAAAGTAGTACTAGTTGTTTTAAGTTTCTTTTTTATGATTTTAATGATACATTCCCTGAGCTTGTCGCGCTGCGAGTGCTGAATTTGAAACATTTCTCAATATGATACGTTCTTATCGAGTCGTTTCTACTTTTGAACGTTTATCAGAATCCTTCTGCAGATACTTTTCTTTATCTCTCAAATAATCACGTGTAGCACAATTCAAGTCTACCAATTCAGAATTATTAGTAACTACGATCACGAGATCACGAGTACCGATTACATTCGCTTTGATTACTTAAGTTATTCATTAATCATGATTACTAGATTACTTAGTGATCGTAATCATTAATTATGAACACGATATCACGTTATCCATCATCGTTAATCATAGATTAGGGTACTTTCTGCCCAACTCTGTCCAAGAGAAGCATGATCTCATCGATCCCTTGACCATAACGTCCTCGACATCAGTGGACATCCCTTCGCAATCCCAAGATATCCTGCATCAGCGTATTCCGGGTGGGTCCAAGGGTTTAATCCTGCCTTCCTTGGTCGTTTTACGCGAAGGGACCAGGCGATATACCGTGCTCCCTTTCCCCTCTTTCGCAAGATAATGTCGGAGCCTTCGGGGAAGAGGCTTGCGGAAGGTGTAGGAGTCTCGATAAGCGGATCCGCGAACGCTACCGAGCACCGAAAGAACCAGTTTTCTCGGGAACACCGATACTTTGCCGGCAAATTGTCGTTTGTAAATAGGACGGCCGATAAATCATCGGCTATAAGTCGTTGGATTTACCGCGGCTAGCTCGTTGAAAGCCTTCTGGGTGGGAGCATGATCGATAGACCGAGGATTATTTTATGCATTCGTGGCGAAACTCAGTGCGTGAAGTGTAATAGCTGTGAAAGCTTGAGAAAAAGTCAAGAACACTGGTGTATTCTCCTAAATTTCTTAAAATCAACAAGAACATTCTTCTAAATTTCTTAAAGCCAACAGAAACGTTACCCGAGACTTCTTTAAATTAAGAACATTCTATTCGACTTCTTAAAATTGACCATTGTGTGAACAATTAAATACCTGGACGATTAGTTATTTTGTTAATAATTTTGATTCGTTCGTTTGTTAAATGTTTGTAAAGTTATTGGAAATTCTGCCCTTCTCTACTTCGATTTATATATTAATAATTTATTTTTCTACGATCACGTTATTCAACTGCAATCTGGTGAAAGTTAAAGACGGATTAGTGAGGATTTCTTGACAAATTGTTCATTAAGGACAACGACCTTATTTACGTATTAAGGGATTGTTTTCAGTAACACGATGTACTATCTTGTTCCGCAATTCGCTTCCTAAGGCAATTTAATTATCAATTATTATTACAGCTTTAAACTTATTTATAGGTTTTAATTGGCCACGCAAGAGTATGGCGAGATTCCTATTTTTCGTATTTGATTACATTGCCTCACATTATCAAAATTTGAATTCACATGAAACGGGTTAAACTGTGAAAAACATCAGATTCATTTACACAGAGTTTCTTATACATGTGTAGTTTATTTGGATAAAATACCAGTGGCATTTTTAAAATTTCATCTGAGAGGAAATATCAAAACGTTTCTGACCAAAGATATGCACTGCGATGTATTTAGGATGGCACTACATGTCACTAAGAAGCATTATGGAGCATTAACATGCATTAACATGCATCTTAAACCGCTTGATACTAAAATTCATTATAAAATATCCAACATTCAATTGCATTTTACCTGAGAATAAGCATGATATTTATTCAAGAAGAAATGCATTACAATCCATTCAAACCACCCAACACTAAAACGCATTATAAAACATACAACATGCAGTCTAAACTACTTGACACTAAAATTCGTTATAAAATATCCAATATTAAAACGCATCCTAGCTGATCAATTGATGCAAAGAGCATGATCTTAATTTAAAAAAATGCACTGCAATGCATTCCAAACGACCTTACACTAAAATGCACCACAATTTCATATTCATCCTTAGTATTGTGCAATTCCTTCGAAAAGATGAAATCTTGCCCGAGAATGATTAAAAGCGTTGGTAACGTAAAGTAATAGTTTCTGGAACGATTGGTAACGCTCCCGAGCGAATTTCGTCAGCCAGGACGCGTCGCGCGCGCAATTCTGCGCACCGTTTGCAGTTCAAGCGTGTACAGTCATCAGTCGCATAACGTATAGAGAACTCGCAGGACCTCTCACTGATAGCATACCTTCTTTCTAATTGTTGCAGTGTTCAGCAAGGGCCAGTGCGAGACCGTGGCCTACAGATTCCTGGGCAAACGAGGAGGATACGCGTGGGTGGTCACGCAGGCCACGCTCATTCATTGTTCGAAACAGCAGAAACCGCTGTCCGTCGTCTGCGTTAACTACATCCTAAGGTAGGATCTGAAAAAGTTCATTGTCGACGACATTGTGGTTACGAAAGCGATCTTTCCTGGCCCTTAATCGTGATTTTTAATTAATAAATCTTACATTTCATTTTTACTTCTGCCTCACGTTGTAGGCGTGAAATGATTTGAAGGATTGTTGGTTTTTGGCTCGTTTTTTTTCCTGAACGGTTGCGAGGAAAAATTTGGAAAAAAATCTGGCGCACAGAAGATATCAAAACGTACGTTAAGGAATTTTTTCCTATTTTTTGAAGGAATATTCTAGGCGTGGATACATTGGCGATCGGTATTGGAGAATCGTTAAGTGCCAGTTGCACAATGTTTATTTAGATTGCGATAAAACGCGGAGAAAAAAAATCGCAGATCAGATTCTTCTACGTGGCTGTAAAGAGGAGACTTCGATCTTCTCTCTCAAAACTGTGTAGATTACAATCGCGACAAAAAAATTTTATGTCTACAATGGCACCTTTCAATTTTTTTGGCAAATTCAAGAGCTTTACAAAGATTTACTAGCTGCGTAAATTCGGATCACGTATAAAAAATACCGCGTAAATGTTGTAATTTGCCGCTTAAAAAAGGGATTCTCGTAAAAAAGATGCGAGTGGGTACAATTTTTTCACTGCGTACATTTTTTTCAGATTTTTTCTAAGCAACGTTATAGTTAAAAAATCAACTTTTCGACATTTCATACGCGAAAAAGCGATTTACCTTACAAGTCCACTCGAACGATCGAATTTCACCACAAAAGAACCGCTTTCGAGACCACAGTGTGTCAAACTGCATGATTTCGGTCGGAAGTGTCTTCCAATCCGCTTCTCTTGCATGCTTCTTCTCGCTATAGGCTCCACGGATGATCGCACACACTCCACGCAAGGCCTTTCAAAAGCATAGTGCAGATAATCTGCACGTTTCCAAAAGAAAGCAGAATCTTATCTGAGATCAAGGTGTCCTACCGCCATTACAGTAAAATCGAGCGCTGTAGATCGATTTTTGCGGGAACTCCAAGGCGAACAAATTACGTAAGGGCGGAATTCGTCGAATAGGATTCGCGGCGAATGTGCAATGTTTGGCGCTAATGTGATACTAGCACTTAAACATGCATAGTTCGACGCTCACGTTTTCCTATTCGCAAACAGCTCGAGTCGAGATCGCGTGCAGAAAATTCCTGGACATCGCTGTAGAAACACGTGCGAATGCTAGAAAAGTCAGTGTACCCGCATCGCACGTATTATGCATTATTCAAAATTCTCTTCCCACATCTTTGTCTCTAACACGAACATTTTATAAGTCGACGCGATTGATGGTCAAGGTTTCGCGCGATAAGTGTTAACACGTTCGCTACGCAAGTGTACATAAAACTAGGCAAATTCATTTGATTGCACGTTGCTAATTAAAATCCTAATGCGTAACATGATATCCTAATAGTGTACAACTTGCTTTGCTAAATTAACTGAACATTTCTTAACCCCTTGCTTTACGATTGACTTTCAAAGAAAACTTGCGCGTGCAGACAATTTTAGTTTAGCGAAACGCTATGCGAGGAGTTGTCGCGAAATAAGACTGAAGTGTTTTTGTTTTTATTTAATATATTTACATCGATGTGGATATACTATTTCATTTGTAACAGTACAGATTAATAAAGTAATGATGACATTAAATGTGAAAATTGGAGAATATCCTTTTTTAAGTTACAGAGTTTACGAACGTTTACGTTTACACAGTTTACGAACTAATTAAATTCCTTTTTAATATCGTTTATTTTCCAGTTTATATATTATATATATTATATTTTTTCATTATAACTATAACGACAGAATTTTAGATAGAAACAAGGCAAGAGACTGTGTAAATATCGTTATAATTCTTTTTGTAACTTAAGGAGTCAAAAGACTTGAGGAGTTAATAGATACACGTTGTATTTAATCGATTATTTTGGCAAACAAACGAGTTCAACGATCGGATGAACAGCAAGACAAATGGTGGTAGTGAACGTGTTAAGAGGGGTGTTAAAACTGTAGCAATTTCACTGGTACGTTTTCTAATTTACTCAATCCTGTGCTGGGGACTTATTTGATCTCATTCGAAACACTTTATTCGGAATTATATTCTAATTTTCGAAGAACCTTGTAGAATGCTAGAGGAAGTACAGTGAATGAAGAGCTAGGATAGCGATTTTTTTATCTTTTTTATAGGGTTGAGACGTAGAGAATCTTTCGGGCAACGACCGCGCAAGGTAAGTGCTTGTTCTATTGTTTCCTATTCTGTGCCTGGAGAAGCTCGGTTTCACGATCTATTGTTTGTCTGTCTCCCTTTTATTGTCTGTTTGCGGAAGATACTTCTGACGAATCACCGCACCGGTCCACGGTTTACGAGCCGGATTTGTCGTGGAGATTGGCCAAGGGGTTGCGATCGCGGAGGGGGGGGGGGCCTCTCGCCCCTCTTTTACTACTGAAATCCCGTGAATTTTCACTAGAATCTTCTCCTCCAATTTTATCCTATCATTTATTTGTTTATCCTGGAACGACAGGCTCCGGTAAATCAGAACGGTCGGTGGCTTCATCTTAAACTCTGGAACAATATATTTATATTAAATATTACAGTATACAGAGCAATTATATACATGTTAACAGAATATTTCATATGCAAAGTTAATGCTTAATGCTAGAGAAGTGTACTTAACGCTTTGAAACGTCTTTGAAACGTCTTTGAAACAATTTAGTTACAGCAGTTATACGTGTTAAACTCTGGAACAGTATATTTGTATCAATTGTACAACATTGTACAACAATGATACATGTTAACACAGTGTTTCTCACATGTAAAGCTAATATTTCATGTACAGAAAACTGCTTAATATTTTGAAACATCCTTGGAATAATTTAATATTTGACAATAGCTGTACTAATAATCTCGAGATTCTAGTAATGCTTATATTAATAATAACTGAGATCTTGCGGATTTTTATGTAGAATCGTTATTCATTTAGTGATTGATAAATATTGGACTAATTCCTTGAGAGATGTTTCAGAATATTAAACAGTTTTGCGCACATAATCGTATATCGATAAGTGGGATTGGGATCTTGCGAACGATATGTATATGCATGGAAAATGATCTTGTTCTGTAAAAAAAAAAATCTTGTTCTATAGAAATCGATTGAGCAATCTGTGGGTTTTGATCTATTTGAACAAGATACGGTCCGCGTGATTCACGCGTATTTTCGTGGGAGGGGGATCTTTCGTCAACTCTTATCGTCACCTAGATTGCGAATTCTATACGTTGATGGCACAAATAGGTGTCTAAAATCGAGTCTGCCTCGAGAATCGAAACAAATGGCGCTCAATTATTCGAAGAAACAATATCCATTCAATCTGCAATATATGTAGAAGTGACAGTAAATCATTTCCCATAAATGTCTCTGCCAACAAAATTTAACGCGTCTCCAACATTTCCAAAATCGCGAGCACAGAAAGCTCTCCTTATTAAATAATTAATTCTAGATCAATCTTAGACTCAATTAATCAATATTACACGATCTCAAATTTATTAATGTTTCCCCACTTTGTGCACATCATCTAAAAATTGTCTATCGATAGACATCCTCGAGTTATCAGCGTCGATTCATTCGAATCGATTCGAAGACGCGGAGTAGTATCATGACCGAAGACTGTACACCGTTAAAAAAGAATCAGTCGTCGAATTTTGCCGGGTAAAAAGTTGCGGAGATTCGTGAAAGTGGGTGTCGAGAAACATCTTGAGCGACAATATGGCGGTAGCGCCGTGATGAAAAGAAGAAGAGCCATTAAGGCGGCAGTGACATCCAGCTGCGATCCTCTATACTCTATCGGGAAACAAATAAACCAACCAGCCGCCGTTTCTCGTCTGCCGTTTGCAACCCCCTCACCCCTGGTAATTTCAACCCGCTGGTCCAGAGCAGGGTGCTGGAACACGCGCAGGAACCACCGACCCTTTCCAAGACGGCAGTCAACCAAGGAGAACTCGTGCCCCACATAAAGAGGTCCGTGACACTCTTCCCGTCACCCTCCGCCACCCTCTTTCTCCTTCTCTCTCTCTCTCTCTCTCTCTCTCTCTCTCTCTCTCTCTCTTCCACCCCTTGGCAAGCGTCTCGTTCGTTCAGTCGTACCACATACACAGGTAGCAGAAAGTTTCCAGCTTTTCCCTCTTTCTGCAGCATTGTACGATTTCACTCGGAGAAAGTGGAGGTTCTTGGTAATGCCCGGGTCCGATTCGACTCGTCGTTGTCCGCCATTTTCAAGCACATTATAGTCTAATTATGGCTCCCGATCGAAATATATTCATTAACCGCTTCGCTCTCGCTGACGTGTTATGTCGCGACACTGTTCGTACAAGGTCGCAGACGAGATACAGTAATTTCTCCCTAATTCGCGCTCAGATTGCACACAAAAATGGACAATTTGGAAAGAGGAGATACGATTACTCGAGCCTTGCGGCTCGTTTTTATCGTTACCGATTGTCAAGAACTGTAAAAACGAGCCACGAGGTCTCGAATAATCGTATCTTCTCTATCCGTATTGTCCATTTTTGTGCGCAATCTGAGCGCGAATTGGGGAGAAATTACTGTATTCTTTTTTGTCCATCATAGACGACTAAACATGCTTTAATTGGGGAGCAAAAACAGAAGCGCGTGTTTACTCGCCTGAGGCACCGCACGAACGGTGTGTCGCGGCATAACACGTCCGTGGCATCGCGTAACGTAAGCGGCATCACGTCGCGAGATATCTCGTCCGCGATCTTGTACGTACAGTGTCGGTGTCGCGACATAACACGTTCATGGGTGCGAAGTGATCAATTTCGTCTCGTTTTTTTACGAGAAGAAACGAAGCGGTTCGTAAAAATTACTATTAAATCCTACCGAGTCTTAAAATTACTAGCAATGTTTATGTGTAGATTAGATTTATTACTAGACCGCGGATTTTTCAAAATAAAAACTTTCCACCTGAACGATCAGG